TTGTGCAGAAGAAGTGGCTGTTATTGGTGCCGTGCTGCACCCAGGTCAGAATTCAGCGGCTCTGCGCGCAGATATGGCCTGTAGCTTATCAGCCGCACAGCTACACAATAACACTCACAGCGACTCCCGATATAATCACCTAGCGTGACACCAACCTGCAGCCCGGCGTTGTGTGCAAATACATAAAACATCACGTCACACGAAAACAAGTTCCACAGGTATTCCATCAAAGAGCCCTGGTTATCCCAGCATTCACACAGCTCTTTGTAGGTCGGCTACAAACCTTTCCTGGCTTGTTAATTTTAGATTTCCTGTACAGGAGGTGGAGGAGGGCCGGGGGGGGGACCTTTTTGTGAATCCACATTGGCCTGCTTCCTCTCCCCTGGAATGTGCTGTACGTTAGTTGAGTACATTACAGGTCAATGAACGGGCTTGTACATCTACTTATAGCCCATGACCATGCCGCTGTGTTTTTAACTCCGCTAATTAGGAGATCCAAGGTGATTAGGGCGAGGCTGGCTATTTGAAGGTGACAGATTGTCTAAGACGGCGTCTAGTTTTAGTAAGTAGCTTTCTGTGTGTGCTGGGCTCAGTTTATGAATGGTGGGAGGCAAAGTTGGCCAATATGTGTCTTAGGTTATGGATGGATGATCTTTACAGCGAGAATGTGAGGAGTCGTGATCATAGGAGCCGATGGCAGTAAAATCACTATGTTTTAGGAGAGTATGGAGGTTGAGCACTCAGCCATACACACAAGCAAACCATCCAGTGTGTAACATTTAGGAGGATCTATTGGCAAATAAATGGATATTCATAGGTATGTTTTCATTAGTGGATAATCACCTGAGAATAAGAATCGTTGTGTTTTCGTTACCTTAGAATGAGCTGTCTATATCTACGGGGTTTCTCTGTCTTATATCATTCAGACAAAACGAGCAATTTAAAGACGTCACACTAGAATCTGAAAACCTGTGATGGAAACTTTCACAAATTTTAACGACCAAACAATTGAGCAATAAATTAGGGCTGAAGTGATTATTTTCATTATTGTTTAATCTGTTCATCATTTTCTCTGTTTGGTCTATAAAATGTCAGAAAATGGTGAAAAATGTTGCTTACTGTTTTCCAGTGACCAGGGTGACATCCTCGAATGTCTTCAGTTTACTGTAATAAAGGACTAAAGAAACCAAAAAACATTCATATTTGAGAATCTGAATCCAGAGGGTTTGGACAGTTTTTCATACGAAAATAAAATATATTTTGATGATCAAATAGCTGCCGATTAATTCATTAGTTGACAACTAAGGAATAAATTGACTAATCATTGCGGGTCTACAATAAATGTAGAAGAACAGAACATCAGATTAATGACCAATTAAAATAGTGATGCTTCAAGTCAAGAACACCAAGTTCAGAACGATCAAAGGATAAATCAGTTAGTTGATCAACAGAAAATTGATCAGTATCTGTGGGTTTTGGGCCTTTTGTTGACCAAAACAATACATATTGTCTCTGGGAAATGCACGATTTTCTGACATTTCATAGACTAAACGATTGATCCATTAGATCAAGAAAGTAACTGGTGGATCATTGAACTCTTTATGCTCATTATTTGATCAGATCGTCATATTTTAGGACTCTAGAGTTCTTGTACGGTAAATGAAAAAGCTCTTTATTTAGTCATGTTGATATTTCTTCAAAGTAAAATGTTGTTTTAGTATTAAATCTAAATATTCCCAACTTTCCTGAGGCCCTACTTGTGTGAAGTGAAACTACCTGAAAATATCTCAAACATATGTCAGAGAAAGTTATGTTCTCCCTCCTGGGGTATTTTTTCCACATTTCTGCTCAGTTTTATGAGGTGATAATTAGCAGTTTTTTAATGGTCCTGCATAGTTTTTCAAACAAACACTTTAACTTTCCTCATTGTGAACAGAGAAACCTTCAGCAGTGTGAGGGGGCTTTCATGCCAAAGTGATGAAGAGGCCCATGGCTTCCTCTGGGTAGGACGGTGTCTCCTGATCTACAGACATCCTGTTTGTTTCAGATTTTTACGCAGAGAGCAGTCAGAGCTTCTCAAATCTCCACGGTAGCCAAAAGCAGCGTGACCGTGCGCTCTCCGACTGAAGGTCAGTGGCATTGACTGGCTGTCATGGCAGGCTCACAAGTACAGAAATGTAGGTCATGATGTACGAGCTGCCAGCAGCTAATGAAAACGCCTGCTGCACTTTGCTGCTCTCGCTCACATTCCCGGTTGTCGTGTCACTCGTCAAGCTTTTTGTATCGAGCTGGGGAATGCAGGTGTGGTTGGAACTGCCAAAACAAATTAGAGCTAATGTAATGAATCACAGAGTTGTTCCATTTGGGCCAGCTAATGAACTGAACCACCCTCGGCTCGCTGGCCTCGATCAATTGGAGGAGCCTTGCACAAGAGGCAGACTGACCTGAAGGCAAGCAGGAGCAGATCACCTCGAGACAGTTTAAAGACTAAATCTGGTGGTTTGAGATCAGCTGACAGACTATCAGCAGCTCCTAAGATAAAAACTGTTTGTGAAAAGACTTCTCAGTGGCTGTGGTTTTATTGCTGGTGTGACAGCACCACCTGCTGGTCGGATGGGGCAATTGCTTCTCTATACAAGTGTTTTTCTCAATCGAGAAGTAGTCACCTGTTCTCTTGCTTTACATCTGCACCGGTCTGTCAAAGCCTGACATTACTTAGTGGATCAGCCCTCGAATACACAAACATGTGAGCTCAGAGTGAAGAAAGGCAGCATTCAGCTCCCCCTCAGAGGCCCCCTGCCCGGCGCGAGAGGCTCTCTTCAGTTTCCCACCACTGCTCCTCATGTGTCCTCTGTCCGGCTGTAAGAGCTTCACAGAAAAGATCTGCTGATCAGGACCCAGTTATGACGTTGCATAAGCAATTACTCCAACGTGAAGTGGCCATCTGTGCCATTTCTGCCATTACAGTCAAAATCAGGGGTGCTTAGAGTTCGGGTCCCCGCTGACCAAAGCCCATTTCTGCCAAATAATTACCAGCTCTTCCAGAAAACAGGATGATTTTGTGTACTTACGTGTTATTTTGTTTTGTTGTTGTCCTCCCGCAGCACTGCCCTCACCCCGGGACACACCCAGCCCCATCGACCCAGAGTCCATCCAGGTGCCCCTGGCCTACGAGCCCGACCCGGCAGACCTGGCTCTGTCCAGCGTGCCCGGCCAGGAAATGTTCGACCCCAGGAAACGCAAATTCTCCGCAGAGGAGCTGAAGCCGCAGCCCATGATCAAGAAAGCCCGCAAGGTCTTCATCCCCGAGGACCTGAAGGTGATTCCTTGACCTGCTGCTCTGTCTGAAGCAAGATCAGATCGCCCGGTTAGGTCTAGATGTTGGGGCCTGTTGTTATGTAAGCAGTTCTAAGGACAGTTAGAGCCTGAAGGGAGGAAAGCGATGGACTGAAGGCCAAACAAGCTGCATTGTCAGAAATGAAAATCTCATGAAGTGGGTAAAAATAGTCTTAAGTTATAGTTAAAGAAAAGTCAGAGGCCTCCTAGTCAGAGGCCTTTATCATGGGACTTGTTAGGACTGTAAGAGTATTTTGTGATCGTATCCAGCGCTAACCACTTCTGCTCTGCTCCCCAGGACGACCGGTACTGGGCCCGGCGCAGAAAGAACAACGTGGCAGCCAAGAGGTCACGGGACGCCCGGCGGCTGAAGGAGAACCAGATCGCCATCCGGGCCAGCTTCCTGGAGAAGGAGAACGCCGCTCTCCGCATGGAGGTAGCGGACATGAGGAAGGAGCTGGGCCGCTGCAAGAACATTCTGGCTAAATACGAGGCCCGACACGGGCCCCTGTGAGCCCCCCACCCCCCAACTCCAAACCTCCTCGCCAGCCCGACCACCAACCCAACATCCACTTAACCGCCCCGACCCAGGATCCCTCGGTTGAAAGGGACAATGGTGTTTCTTTGGTGGCACTGCCCCGTCCTCCTCCACCGCCCCCTACCTCCTTCCTCCTCCTCACAAACCTCCCCCTCTCAACCAACGACACCTTACCTGTATTGATTCTGGTATTATAGCTGTATTTTTGACTTTTACATAAGCTGTTCGATTTTTGTTCTGTTCCTTCGTTTTATTTTCTGTACACATCGTGCGACTAGAAATTATAATAGTATATATTATTATTATATATATATACTAATATAATATATGTATTTACACATGCATACTTCCCACTTTAATGTACTGTGAGGAGTTATGAGCCAACCCACCAGCTGAGTCCCCCGCTACCTTCCACTTTTTGCAAAACGATGCCATGCTGTTTGTTGTTCACTTTCATACCAATTTTATACGTGAGATCAGGACTGAAAACTGTTGTTTCCCTCCTCCTCCTCCTCCTTCTTTTGTGAAAATGTGACGTGTCCGAGAGCCTGCTTATACCCCCCCAAATCTTTGTGCTTTTTTTAAACCCTGTAAAAGGTTTCTTTCTCTTTCCATCAGCATCTTCTTTTTCACTCCCTTTTTTTTAAACTCTTTTCTTGGTGTTTATGTTGTACTTCAGTAACCCCCCCCTCCCCAACACGTGCTAGCTTCTCCTAGCAGCATTCTCGGTATTTTAACATTGAGATAGCACATTTTTCCTTGTGCGATCGTGGCGTGAGATTTGCCGTTTTTAAAGAAAAATAGCGTTTTCTTCATCAACCGGACACTGAGCAATAATTCCTGTCCAGAACTAAACTGACTACCTACATTGTTCCTCACCCCACTCTGATCTCACCCCTCTCTCCACCACCTCTCGTTTCAGCTCACCTCCGTTAACTAAGACAACCTTAGTTAACCTCTGCACTAATGCGTGTCTCACAATCTGATCCGGTGCAATGTTTCCCCTCACTCAAAGTTTCCTCCGACTCATATTTATCTACCTTTTATTTCTCAGATGGAAGATTGTTGTTTTTTTTATATATATATATGTATTCTGTTGATATAATTGTTAGTATTAATACTACTCTTGACATTGTTGTCGTTTAGCCTCCTCCTTGTTTTCAGATTTTAGCATGATTTTCTTTCACAGAACGAAAAGCTGTTTGCAAATCTTTTATCTCTTTTTTTTTTTGCAAAGTTGTTGATAATTCTTTTTTTTTTGCTTCTGTTTAACTTAGCATGATTAATATGCGTGTTTTTATTTTAGAAATCAATACAGATAGATGTCTGTAGTCTCTCATTGTAGCTCTATGTTTGCCCTCTTTTTAAAGATGGCTGTATGAATGTAAGAGATGTTGACAAAAAAAAGTTGGATGGTGTTGTCCAATACTGTGGTTAACCCAATCAATTTGTTTACTGCAGACCAAACGATTCACAACAGAGATGATATATTGGTTACAAGAGATATGTTTATATAAACCTATTCTATAAGTTGTTCTTTTTGTACAGTATTTTTCCTATACATTACTGAACTATGTATTTTAAAGGCACAACAGATCCACAATATTATTAAAGAATACAAATATATAACTCAAAAACAAATGCATATAGTGGTATTTTGATATTCTATATTAGCTAGGATGTGGTAGTTTTACAGAGATTTGTGGATATTCAGCAACACCCAAACCTCCTGGGCATTATTATTATGACAGCACTCCTGCTTATGTTGGCGCCACCTGTTGGCTCATGTAAATCCCATTCAACTCTAAGGAAGCAGATGCTGAAAATGCAGTCCAGAAAAGAGAATGTACAGTTAGGCCCTTTTTTTTTCCATCAGCTTAAATCCAACAAGAAACCCCCACTTAGTTCACCGTGTTCAGTGCTGTGACATTCCCCCGACACGCCCCGACATTTACTGAGTCGTCCAGGCTTTTCTTCCTTTAAGTGGTGAATATTCTGACTTTTTGAGGCTTTTTTTTGTAACCGCGCAGCTTGTGAGTCTTGTTTTCTTTCTGATCTTTTGACGGGATAAAGTTACTATGAAGGAAGGGAAATCTATAGCTGGTTTAATATTACTGCTCTGTGTGTGTTTGGTTCCCTCAGCCAATGCAGTTGTAGCATGTCCCTGAACCTGAGTGATGGACACTGGGAAGCTTTATTTTGTTCTGAAATGAAGGCTTACAGTGGAGCCCAAACCTTAGTTGTGTTGTAGTGTAGAGCTGCATGCTGCTTTTTACCAATCAGTCCAAGACTGGGATGCGACCGATTGACGTTTTTGAGGGCTGATATTCGCGTTTCTGATCATCTCTACGAAAATCAATCTACCAGCACCTTTAAACTCAATACTCAAACCAAACTGTGATAAAAACTGTTTAATTTTATGTGCCAGACTATTTCCTGGATGGGTGCAGTGACTTCCTGGAGTCTGATGGTGACAACAAGACACCGTAAAATCACAAATTGTTGCCGTTTTTCAGTGTTTTTGTTGTACAGACGAGATATAATCTGATAATTATTGAACTTTTAGAAGTGCTAGTCAGTTTGGTCATATTTAGCATACAGATGTGAGCAACATATTCCAGCTGGTGGTTTAGATGGTTGACAGATTTTGTCAAGTCGGTTTTATTAATGATGTTTTAATGAGGATTCTCATTTAATTTTTATTATGTATTTTCATGTGAAAATAAAAATTGAAAAACTTTTAGCATACATTTTTTGACAAATATGCACAAAGTAAATGTTTTCCTTTTAATAGTGGCAGTCCCAAACTTCCATATTTTTGTGCCGAAATCTTTAAAAGTTTAAAGGCGTCAGTATTTAGTTCAAACACAGGTTTTAAATCCTACTAATTCTAAACGAAACAATCAGAAAAGTCAATATTGACCCAATAAAACAGCAAATGGACACGTCGGTCAAATCCCAGTCCCGGCTTGGTTGAACATTATTGATCCGATCCAAAGGTGTGTGTGTGTGTGACACAACAAGATTCCTTTCTAACCACAAACTGTTGTCTTAGTATTTTTGCGCTTTAGAAGGTGTTTCCCTTCTGCATCTTATCTGCACAGACGCACTCGAGTGTGAACAGGGTTCGTAGAGAAGAGTGAAGACTGGAAACGATGCCTCCCGAATCCGAGGAGTGTCTTTTTATGAAATCATACATTTACTGTATAAAGGAAAAAGCCAATAATTAATCCATGTGTATCCCAAAAGTACCTCACTGTCGAGTGATTTCACTACCTCACCCGGAAACGTTAACCATAATTCTGAGTCTATTCCAGTGCCTTGAATACACTGACTGTTCCCCAGTCTCTCAGCAATGTAAAGTTTTCATCACAGCACCAATCGGATAGGTTCAGATCTGCACTGAAGGGCTTCTTAGTGCATCAAAAAGTCTATATTATATACACTGGCAACTCTTCATTTCTTATTTTGGACATTGCAACAGACCTGTAACCATTGTATTCATGGCAACACCAACGGACTGCTTCAGAGTGTGTAAGAATACAACAGAAAGGTGTATTCGGTCTTGTTTGTCATGGAATGGATGCATAACAGTTATTTGTGCTGTTCAGCCCCCGGCCTCTCCGTCTCTCTGTAATTTGTAGTGTCTAATAAAATCCCAATTCTTTCCTGCTGTGTCTTATTCCTCTGATTTTTCCTCTAAATTTACTGATTTAAATCAGAAACCTTTCAGACTTTCATTCAGGTTGAGTTCCTGTTTGGCTGCTTTGTGTTTAAATAATTTTTTTAAAGGGTTAGAATTTGTTAAGTATTGAGACCGAAACTCAGGCGCCATACAGGTAAAGGTCTAAACAAAGGTTTGTACTGAAAGTTTGCATTGAATGCTTCAGATTGTTTACTTTGTATTTACCATTTAAAAGGTTTTAGTAGACTATAAGGTCATTGCAGCCTTTAGAAAGAATAGAAAGCTTCAAATAAAACCAAATGTTGGTGATGAAACATTAATCAGGAGGCCTCAGCCTCCCAAATCTCTCCGTCTCTCAGCAGTGAATGATTTCGGGCTATTTAATGTGAGCAACGACTCCAATGAAAGACTATTCGTGAAAGTTTGGCTTAAAACATGAGTTCTGTAGAAGAAGAACTATTACCTTGGTGCCAGTAGTGGCACCGGTGTCGAACAATTCATTCTGGATTCCAACAGAAATGTGTCAGTAGCGCAGAGCTTCGCCAGACTCTTAAATAAAGTAAAAAAAGTTCATTTTCATTTCATTTCTTTGTATTTTCCATTGAGAGGTGATAATGGCGCTGTAATGGAACATTTTTTAATTAACCCGTCTTTTATTATCAGTGGTCCGCTGCAGTCGGTGTATTGTGCTCCGTTTTAAATCCTGTCACCTTCAGAGGAAGGTTCTTGTTTGTTTGTTTGTTTGTTTGTTGTCCTTGCAGGAAGTGAATCTGTCTCTGACACACAGTCAGTCAATGCAAACTGAATTTAAAAGGATTCACGTCTGGAGGCTCAGAGGTGGGGCATTATCGTTTTTTTATTGTCACATTAGAAAGGTGATATTCATGTATATGCAGCACCGTTAACAGCCAATGGGACAGACAGGAAGCAGTTTTATTCCCTGCAAAAGGCCAGGATCATGTAATCAACAGAACAAAAAGGACAGAATATACAAACATTACAAAACAGAGTGGTCAAGGAAACCATTTCAACAGAGACAAAGACAGAAATATGCACTCGTTGAGCTCCGAACATCACTAAGAGGAAAGCAACAGAAAGGGGATTTTATGAGCCACTGAGCAAATTTACAAAAACCAACAGCATGAGACAAAAACACAAGGTTTCTCCACCGATCAGCCCGCCTCAGAACGCAGGCGGGAAACACTGCTCGTCCTAGTGGTGCAAGTCAAAAACCCAGAGAGAGTCAGTGGAAATACTGGACTACAGTACAAAGGTCGTGCAGACGCTCTACTGCACTCTTCACATTAACAAGAGGAAACATTCTCTCCTCACACCGCCTGCACTGATTTTCTCTCATCATTTGGCTCAATAATAAAAAC